ACACACACACATACATACATGGAGAGAGAGAGAGAGAGAGAGAAGGGGGGGATTTCATTCAAAAATACACATCATTTACACCTCCTCAGAAGTTTTCAAGTATTTTTAGGATTTTAATAAGTAAGGAAAGCAATAACTAGATATGGATCCATGAAGAAGTGTGATTTCATGCCTAATTTCATTAATACCAAATGCCCAAACAGAATCTGAGATTCTGCTAATATTCCATCAACATTTGTGAACTGATCCACATACTCATGAAAAAGAATGGACAGCAATATTTTTTACAGTTTCTTTTCTATCTGTCTAGTCAATTTTCTCTGATGTGCCTGGCTGTGCTGCTATTAATTTATTCTTATATTGCTTAAATGATGTGCACTCTAGCAGGCATGAGAGGTTCAGCAATCACATTTTGTGGGTTTCTATTCCATACCACATTTCAGCTATTATATATTTCTTAAAGAAAAAAAAATATCTTTATGTCTAACTAAAAGCTTCTGTTCCAGAAACAGGAGATGTTAACTCAATTTAAAATGATTAGATTCCTTTAACTGTGTTTTTATTTTTTTTTTCCTGTTGAGTACATTTAAAGTTTCTAGTTTAGTTCCACAGATTTTTAAATGTATTTCATTTCATGAAGGCATCTAAACAGGAAAATTTATCATCAGTATGCTCTATGAATGGATTGATGAAAAGTATCTGAGTTTTTAGCAGCAACAAATAGTGTATCTTTCATATTTGCTTGAAATTGAAATTGAGAAGGATTGGTCAGTCTCTTTCATTGAAGAATATGTAATAAACTAAAATAACTGGCAACTAGAAAAGTCACAAAGGGTTGACAATTATGAGGGGAATAAATCAGGAAGTCCCACTAAAGAGTGGAAATGGCACAATTTCTTCTCCTACCTCTATTCCTTTCCTGAAATGTGATCAGGGAGGACATAGTCTGGAATACTTTTCACTTCCACCCAGTTCTTTATTCAAACTGACTCAAAATGCCAGGGGTCAAGGAGGGTGGCACTTTCTTTTGCTACTGGCTTCTGCTTAGTTCTAGAGTTTGGTGTGATGCCAGTTTCAAGCTTGCCAGCAGCTGCAAAACCTTTTTTCTATTTTATTTCCAAGGTTACAAAAAGAAGTGGTATCATTTATAAGTTTAAGCACTGAAAGTATGAATACCAAATGGTTAATATACTAACAATTTTGGAAATGGAAAAAAATTCTCCATTCCACATTACATGAACAATGAACAAATTTAGTATGCCAACTCTGTCAATGAGAGTGAGGTAGAGGTGTTTGTGACCTTTTCCAGGCCTACAGTTATGGTATTGTTCATACTCAACGTGGTTTTCTATTCAGCACAGTATTTGCTAATGGGACTTACTTCTGCAGTTGCTTTAAAAAACTTTTTTTTTTAAACATAACTAGTCTTTATGTATATATTACAGATGCAGTCAAAGACAACTAATGATTTTAGAAAGTGTGTATTGTTTTTTGTAACCAAGGTTACTAAAAATACATTTGTGGCATGTGTTTAATGTGAACAGTAATTCCTTAAGAAAACAGAAACAAAACAAAAACCTTTCATGATATAAAAATCAGAATTAAAAAAATCAGAATTTAGTGTTACAATAAAAATTAAAGTTTCTATTCATAGAATTTAAGTTATTCTTACAATTTAAATCATTTAGAAGAAAAATAGTATTTAATCATTTTAAAAGTTGATGAGTCTGGATGAATTGATAACCTACAAAGGCAGGATGATGTGGAAAGTAACATTAAATGAATAAATTAAGAGACCAGAGAGAGAATTCCTTTTTAAAACAGAGGAAACCAAGTCAAGAGAAAGATCTGTAAAAGCAGTATAAAAACCTCAAAGAGCAAAGCACCACACATATGTGAATTTTTATCATCTTGAATTCAGACCACATTCTGGTCGTCAAATGGCTTTGCATATTTAAGAAATTACAACCCATTTCTTCAATATGATACAGAGAAGGGTATAAAAAGATAATAAATATTGAAAGCCCCAATGTGAGAGTTTAAAACATCGCCTAATAGAAAGAACTGATTTCTAGTAATGCTAGAGTTTCTCAAATGCATTAAATATTAAAGCACAACAAGATGTTTATGGCAAAATTTATTAACATATATATAAGCCAAAATGCACTGGAATTTAAAAACAGTATTCTATAGCATTATCTAAAATAATATTTCACTAATTTTTTTTAGTGGTGTTCATTTTTATCAATAAAAATGTTTCAATCAACTTGCTTTTACCATTTTCCTTCTGGCCACGGTCAAGATATCCTGGAAGATATCTAGCATAGCAATCTAGCCCCTCTTTAGAATGTGTTATTATTTTTCTCTTACAGAATACAGCTGGCATTATGACTATAATTTTTTAAATGATGTATTTTTTCCTCAGACTAACAATGTACAATTTATATTTGGCTAAGAAAAAGAAAAAAGGATGAAATCACAGGCATCTAAAGTTAATAAGCAATATAAACAGTTATCCTAGTATATCACTTAGTTCAAAAAATGTCCTCTATATTGCTTATGTATTCATTCATTCATTCAAAAGTGTTGAATGTTGTACTAAAAGTTGAGACATAACAATGAGCAAGACAGAATCAGCAACTGCCTTCAGAAAGCTTACAATTAAAGTGAAAAAGAAAATATATAAAACCCAGAGGAAGCAGGAGAAAGGAACCTAACTTAGGACAGGTCAGGCAAGCGCTCCCTAATCTGAGCTAGAAAAGCTTCACAATATGAAGGAGCATCCATTCCGATGATGTGAGTCGACAGGCAAAAAAAAGTATGGTTCAGTCTAAGAACTAAAAAAGACTGGTGAGAATTTAAGCTGTAAATATTTGGTGGAGACAAATAATAGAAGGCCAACTAATTCACATTAGGAAATTTGGGTTCACCTCACTGTTAAAAAGGTATTGAAAAGCATATTCCTAGGTCATCTATGAAAAAACAAAATGAACCCACAAATTACACTCATACATTAATGATACACTGGAAATACAAGTTATGAAATTGAATTACAAAGATTAGCTTCAGAAGCACAGACTTAATCTAAGCCCTTTTAAACACACTGTTCCACGCATTCCGTGTGTTTTCTCTTTAAAATAAAAATGCTATATAGGTGATCTCATTTCTTGGTGTGGCAGTAATATTAAATTGCCTAATTTAAAGCTGTGCCCTCCACCCACTCCCAAATGAAAAATCAACGGTACTTACTACATCCAGCCTTATAGCTGAAGCCTGGAGGGAGGAGGAATCCTTGCTGGGCAGCTGCAGCCAGTGTCCGTTGATCAGGAGGGAATACGGGAATCATTAATGGCGGCAGCTGACCTTGAACCTGCTGAACGTGATAGAGCGAATCAAAGAGAAGAAGTTTCGATGCTCCATGCTTCTTCCCACCCTCCTTATTTCATGATAAAAGGAAATCATTTATTCGATTCAAAACAATAGCATAGAAGCTTGCTGGGATACTGGGATTGAGGATATGCTTTGGGACTACCTTAGACATCAGAACTGGAAAATCCTAGAGCTGAAAGATATTATTAAGTCTATTCTCTAACATGATGAATAATTTCCCTACATGATATCCTTGGCAGTGATGAAAATATCACTACTTTGCACGAAAAGCCTTTTTCTTATTGCACTAATGAAATGGCTAAAAAATTACCCCTTAGAATGAACTGAAATCGCCCTCTGCAAATCCTACTTGTTGGGACTCATTCTACCTTCTAAAACAAAACTCATTAAGCCTGCATCATTTTACATATAAATAGCTCTTCATTCTTTGAGGACAAATTCTCCTGTTCACACATAATATTGAATTTTAAAATTCTCGAATATAGTAATAGACCTAAAATAAAGCTTACAGAACAGCTAAAACTTTAGTCTTTTTTTTTTATAGATGAGGTAAGTAATGCGAAAGACAACTGACTTGCCACAGAATTAGTTGGAACTGCATCTAGAATTCAGCCTCTTGAATCCTGCTACAGACTCTCTGTACTATATTTTTGCCTGTATCTATGCCTTTTGAAGCAATTGAATCACTCTTCAGACCACCGGGTCTCTGTTTTGGTTGTCTTCTTTGGAATGCACTCTAATTTGCTGGTCCCACTCTCAGAGTTTGGGGTTCACATTAGTTAATAAATAATCCATCACAATGGAATCACTATTTTCTTCAAACTGAATAGGAATTTCTAGAAATATAACCTAATGTAGCTATTTCTGCAGCCTTGCCACATTATTAACTAATGCAGAGATTTGTCATTAACTAAAATACATTTTTTTGAATAAGTATTTAAGCAAATCTCCCTGGTGAAAATGATTAGTGGTTAGTGTTCATTGATGGATGGATATATGGATGGGAATTTGAGATCATGTTTAAAATTTCTGACAGTTTATTTCCTCCATTAGTTTTCCCACACATTGAGCAGTTATTTGTAAAATATTTAAATACCTACTACGTGCAAGAAACTGAACTAGGCAGTAGGGATGCAATAGTGAACAAGAAAACCAAAATCCCGCATCTATGAAGCCTTGATTATAATAGGGATGATGGTGGTGAAAAAGTAAAAGAATACATAAAAATAATCACATATTTATTCAGTCACTAATCTTAACAGCACCTCTGAATTATCTCTCAGATCTGTTTTCTTGTTTTCCCACTGGCATTACACATTCATAGGGTTCTGATGATTCTTACAGTTCTCATCATTTCTCACTTTAAAAGCCCACCTTCAATTTCTCCTTTATTTAATCTTCCACAGTAAACCTCTGAGCTATTTCTGAGATTCTGGTTGGTGAGTGAGGGGGCCAGTGAGGACTGAGAGAGGGAGAAGGGGAGGAGAGGGAGGGTGAAAGGGAAGGCAATGTGTGTGTGGTAGCGGAGGTGGCGAGAGAGGGAGGGAGAAGAGCAATATGTCAATGGTAGATCTGTTTTCAGCAATGACACCAAATTAGAAAGCATTATACAGAGAAAGATTTATTGGGTTTATTGTCAACTGGTTATCATTTGTATATAAAGCACACTTGTTATGGCAGTTTTTATCTAGGTAATTTATATTTTAATAGTTTATACTATTCTTTCAGATAAAATTTTTAGTATTTTAAGGAATAAATTGCAGGTAATTCTGGAGCTTTTATTAATCTGTGCATTCTAAACTTTCGTCTTTTATGGATTAAAAATGCATTCTGTTTTAGTATAATTTTAGTGTCTACATTTTTCAAGATCCACTTGTAAAGAGCGACATAGAAATTTAAAGCTGAGATAGACCCTCGAGATTATCAGCAACAACATAATCATCATGATGATGAGGAAATAAGACCTAGCTTGGCCAAATAAATTGTTCAAGATCCCATATTTAGCTGAAAGCAAACTTAATATTGGAACTGCATCTCCTGGTCAATCTAGTGAGGGGAAGTAGAAGAGAAAGAAACTGAAAGAGGAACCACAAGGTGGAAAAAAAGGAAGTAAATGAAAATCCTAATTTCACAGTCCCAATGATGGGTTTTTATTAGCCTATCACAGAACAGACTGTAGAGTACTATACTATTCAGAATCAGAATAAAGTTAACAGTGAAATAAATACAGTCCAAAATGTGTGGTTAATCTATGTGAGCAACTAAAAACACATCTCAAAATATCGTTGATCCCGATTATTTGTGGATTTTGTGTTTGCAAATTTGTCTATTGGCTAAAATTTACTCATAACCAAAATTAATATTGCCATTTGCAGATGTGCACAAAACAGTTAAGAATTTCTTGGTAATTTATTGTTGCTGTTTAACAAGGTCCTAAGCATAATGCTTATGTGCTGTCTAGTATTTATGAGGCAAGAGGGCTGTGGTGTGACTTATGGAGAAGAATATGTGTTAGATAAACCTTGTTCAGGCATGAGTTATCCTGCTGTTGACTCTGAATTCAATGTTAATGAATAAATAATAAATATGAAACAAGGTATTTTTAAGCAAAAACCCATACACAACAAAGTTTCGTATTGATTAGCTGATGAAAATGTAACCAGAAGCTCCCAAGAACCTAACTACACTCCTTTAGGAGCAATTGTTCAGCATTCACTAATTCAATGTTCATAGCAACTTTATAGAACATAATACATGCAAATAATGAGCAGTGACTGTATTATTCCTATATCTTAACTGATTTTCATTGCACTGCTGCTGAAATTTAGCCAACATTTGGGAGAAGAGGACACATGATATCAAAACAATATGTTTTCTGGGTAGATTCTAAAACTATTTTGTTATAGGATTAGTAATTCCTTCTATATATTTTCTAGTTTTGAATACTTCCAAATCCTAATCATTGTTAATTTCTTTTTTTTCACCAAATGTATGAAATTTTCTTTATACCAGTAATTAAAGTTGAAAATGTGTGACATTTATAATTAAGTTTCAACAAAATACTTTTGACATAAATTTTTAAAGATACAGAGCATGTTATTTACAGCTTAAATAACTCATAATATGCATAAGGGGCTACTGCCTATACGTTTAAAACTTAAAAAAAAAAATCCTGCCTTAATGCTTTTTATGTGTCTACCTCAAGATAGTACATAGTCTCTAAAATGTTATGAATCCAATATGAATCAACTATATTATGCCATTTATAAACAACAAGTATATACCTATCAGTTACTCACAGTCAAATATTTTATATTTTATGTAAATGTTCTATTGTTGAAACATTCAATTGCTTCAAGGCATTAATATATTAGGTAGATTCTTAAGATTATTCAGTCTGTATTTGCTTACAAATCCCTATTTATTAATTTATTAATTCAATCAACATTTGCTAAGCAGAATATGCATTTATTAATTCAATCAACATTTGCTAAGTAGAATATTTGTGGTAACTAGGAATTAAAAGATGAATTCACAGACATGACTACTCTCTAGGACCTCTGAATCTTGTGGGGCAAATAATTATAATTTATTGCTGTTAATTCAATAATACAGACTTGTACAGGCAGTACAGAAGAGAGGCTCCTAACACAGGCAGGAGAAGTCACTAAAAGCTTCATGTAAGCAGGTGCAGCAGGTATAGGGCCTGAATAGGTAATGAGCAGGGAGAGAGACATAAGAAAAGGAAGAGGGGCAAGAAAAAAACATCATGTGAAGGAGACACTACCAGCAGTTAGGAATGGCAAAAAATATAAAGAAAGCAGTGGTGACAGGTCTGCCAGAATCAGTTTATGCATCAGGGTAAGAAACTAGAGACTTCCCCTGTAGGCTCTAGTGTGATTCCCCTGTAGGGGAATCACGGAGAGATTAAATTAGGGTCCGTGGAATACTCTGGTGGATATGGAAAAGAGATTGGAAAGGCCTAGCGTAGAGACCAAGTAGGAAGTTAATACAGAGGAACAGATTATGAGGGTTTGATTAGCAGTAAAACTGTACTGGATGAATCGAAAAAAAAAAAGAAAGAAATATTTTTAAAAATTGAAGTAATCATAGATGAAAAAAATGACAAAATCAAATATAATGTTTATTTGATGTCACTCTACTTATAGTGGTATCAAACAACTAAAAAAATCAAAGTAGTAGTGGTAATTTTTAAGGAAAAATGATGACCATGGTTTTAGACATGATGAAATGAAATGAAACGAGGTGAGGTGGCTGAATGATGTTGCATTGGAGCTATGTTTCCAGCAGATAGACACTCCAGTCTGAAGCTGAGGGAAGAGATCTTCAGAGGCCATGGTTTTGGGAGTCAAAAGTTAATGAGAATAAACTAGACAATCTAGAGAAGGTCTAAGGGGCAAAGAGGGGAACAGCTTAAAATCATCTGGGTTCCAACAACAGTTCAACAAAAGATGGAGGAAAGGAGCCTATTAGCAAATAAAATTTAAGTTAGATAAAAATTAAGAAAATCATGAAGAGTATGGTATAACAAAAGCCAAGGGAATTTCAAGATTGAAGGAGTCAACTAATTGTAAAAAAAAAAAAAAAAAAAAAAAAAGCAGAAAGTATTCTAGAGAATTTCAAAAATAACATCTCTTGGAATGATTAGAAGATGAATTTATAATAACATCACTTCTATTCGAACAGAGGGTAGAAATCATGTTGCAAAAGGTGGAGGACTGAACGACAGGCAGAGCACAGGAGAAAGCAAATGTAGACTATTTTTCAGTGAAAGTTGATAAGAGGTGAGGAGAGACATTGATAGCAACTGCAGAAAGATGTAAAGAGAAAGACTTTTTTTTTTTTCAGGCAGCAGAGTTCTGAGTACATTTATTGCCTCAAGGGAGCGAACAGAAATGGAGAGTTTTAAATGTAGGTAAGAGAGAAAGTAACCAAAATTCCAGAGGAGGCTAGAAGACAAGG